CCTCGTACATGGAAATGTTGCAGAGCAGAGTCATTCCGCAGCTCGGAAGGGTTAATGAATAACTTTTGGTGGCAGCAGGATGGTGCACCTGCACTTTCGGCGCAATCGTTGCGTGTCTACCTAAACGAGACATTCGGTGGACGTTGGATCGGTCGCGGAGGACCGATAGAATGGCCTGCTCGATCACCGGATCTGAATCCCATGGATTTTTCCTATGGGGATACTTGAAGCACAGAGTTAATAAAACGAAACGCAAAGACCTGAATGAACTATAAGAGAACATTGTGAACGAATGTAGGCAGATTTTATTGGAGATATTGCAGAAATTGCTCGCCAATACCATCCGGTGAATGCTCCTCTGTAGCCAAAACGACGGTGGGCACTTCGAACATCTATTTACCGACATTTCACACATTTCATGAAAACTTATGGAAAGTAATGAATAAATGTGTCTTATCCATCGTACACGAGAAACGCTATCGAAGGCCTAATCAATTTGTATAACTAGCAATTGTCTGACTGTTACGGCAATAGTTGCATTCATGACTAAATTGGTGTCCAGTCTAATGGTGCCACCAGTGCGTCGGAGCAGATTAAAGCTAAGCGCATTGTCACCTCAAGTCAAGTTAAGAATGCGTTTTTAGGCACCCATAAAGGGTGAATTCTCAGCTGTAACACACATGCGATTGAAACGGTAGAGCGAACAACACTAACCTTACAATGTGCTTCCGGCAGTATGATTCTTTTCAGCAGCGGAAGCAGCCTAATAAAAGCTTACGGATTTGTTGGAAGCCAGTCATGAGGCGATAACAGCTTTTGTGGCGATAGCAATACGGCACCTATCGACCGGTCATCACATATGGCCAGACTGTCTTTCTCAATCGTTAGCACAGCGACCCAGTAACCACTTCGCAGGGAACCCTCTTACGGGCTTGTTCACCTGCGTGAAGGCCGACTACCGATCGATCACATCATGACACGTTCAGTGCGGTTGTGGTGTCTGGCTAACGTCCAGTTCTCACAACCGAACGGTATGTGTTCCCTTGGTCTTGCCCTGCAATCCACGCATGACAGCTCGATTGCGGCTGTGGTGTTTTCTTACGTTCACTTCTCACAGCCGAACGGCTTGGTGTGCTCTGCGATCGTAGACACACATGTCGCGTCTCTATTCCCCTTCTCACCCCTGCCGGCGAAGCAAATTGGGTCATTGGACAGTTAGAAATTCAGCGCACCGGGGTACGTCAGCACCTGAGTGCAGCCGCTCCGAGCTCCGGACATGGTTAATAAAACACCGTGTAAATTGGATCCTCTCCATTCCCGCGTTAGGACCGTAAAGACGATGAACACGTTTCTTTGAATACGCCTGTTTGCGAAGAGCCGACATCAGTGATGTTTGTGTCTTGTGTTTCTTTTGTCCTTCCTTGTACTGTTTAGCCTGTCCCTCTAACCGATCTTATTGCCGATGCGTCATGGAATATTGCGTAATATTATTTGTTATTTTTCGTTTTCTCTCTTTTTTTTACTACAAGTCGATGAAATTGCATTATGCCACGATAGGGAGGGTGTTACTCATCTCCAGGTTTTGTGTATGGTGATGATGACGCAGGTGTTCTCGCTGTCCACATGCAGCACAGTGGAATGAACATGCAGAGGCGAATTCGGAATCCACTCATTATTGTTGCGTGCCGAAGTCGTAGTACTTTGGACTTGATATCGGGATGTTATTCTGTTTTTTCATCAACCGTTTTGTCCTCTCCTTTTTGGCTTGGGTGACATCTTGATTCCGACGGTATTCACTCTGCTTTCCTCTTTAGTTTCAATGACCTATGGAACAATACTTAGATATGCAGATCAATTTAGTCGTGTGAAATCTACATTTGGCATTCAACGGACTTTTCCACATCTATTACTCTTTGTATCCTGACCCCTTCTGAATACTGAATACTGTATTATAGAGCAAGTAGAAATGGATTCTGTACAACTCTTTCGAGATATGGCGAAAAACGTTATAAAAGTTGTCAACCTTGAATATCATTGTCGTTCTCATGTAATATTTAAAATATTCGACTTACGATATTTCAGGATTCACAAATGTGATGTCATCATAAGTGTGCAGTCGTTCTCTGAATCGAATAGAGGCAAAATGCAAATCTAACAACGTTTTGAACTGTTGCACAGATGTTGCCTCAATCACATGTTCGGGCAAACTATTCCAAATGTTTACCACTCTCCGTTCGAAGCACAGTGGGTGGGGAACACGTTTCATATCCGGCACAACAAGTTTGTATCTGTGTCCGCGTGTGCTGCATGGCCCTCGTAAGTGCAGCATTGGCCTTAACATGGGGAACTCACCGAGATGTAGAATTCGGTAGGTCATAATGAGGTCGACTCGCACCCGACGGTAGGACAAGGTGTAGAGTCCTAGTTTCTCGCACCGGTCTTCATACCCAAAGCCACGTAAACTCGGGATGAGCCTGGTAGCAACGTGTTGGACCCGTTCGATCTTTTGTGCCTCGCCTCGGGTAATCGGAAAGTAGGCGGGCGAACCGTACTCTAGCATTGGTCTAATGATAGAAGAGAACAGGCGAGTGGCAACCTCTTCAGACCATGTGCAGAAGCTACGTTTGAGCGCCCAAAGCATGCGCAGTCCGTTCCGATATAGCCTGTTCGTGTTGTCCACGGACTTCAAATCGTAGCGTGAGAGTACACCTAGGTCCTTCACGGAGGGTGTGGGATATAGCGTTTGGCCGTCAAGGGTGTAGGTTCGGCCGTCTGCACCCTTCCCCAGGCTCATAAATACCGACTTGGCTGGGTTGACCGGGAGAAGAACTTCTGCAGACCATGTGGATAAGCGGTTGAGATCTTGCTGAAGTAGGCCACAGTCATCGGGAGCGTCGATTTCTCTCCAAATCTTCATGTCGTCCGCAAACAAGGCACACGGCGACCGGAGAAGCTGCGGTAGATCGTTGATGTGGATCAGGAACAGAGTGGGGCCCAGCACAGTTGCTTGAGGCACGCCACTTGTAGAGAGGTACCAGTCAGTTAGATGGTCGTCGACCTGTACCCTCCACTTTCGTCCAACAAGAAAGTCGCGGATCCACCGGTGCAGTGAGCCACCGACACCACACATGCTGAGTTTGTGAAGGAGAACCTCATGACTGACCTTGTCGAGCGCTTTACTGAAATCGATGAATATCACGTCGACGGACTTCCCCTTGTTTATTGCCTTCAACCACTCATGCATCGTCACAAGCAGGTTAGTAATGCATGAGCGACCTTGCATAAAACCGTGCTGTGCGGGCGTCAGGACCTCGTTTGACTGTAGCAACTGCAGCAATCCATTCTTCACGATGTTCTCAGCAACCTTTGTCAAAATAGGTGTCAGACAAATTGGCCTGTAATTGTCTACTTTGCTAGGGTCGCCGCCTTTCGGAATAGGCTTCACCACCGCACATTTCCAGTCAACCGGCAACAAACCTTCGGAGAGCGACCTGTTGAAAAGGTCAGTCACGACAGGAGAGAGGATGGTTGAAAGTGACTTGAGAACCAGTGGGTGAAGCCCATCAGGTCCGGCAGGTTTGGTGCCGTCAAGGTTGGCGAGTAGTTGAGCTACCTCTTCGACGCCACAATGCAGACTATCGAGTTCGGTAAAAGCGGTACACGTCGAACTCGGAACAGACACCTGGTTATTCGCAAATACAGAAGCGAAGTGCGCCGCCAACGCGGACGCACGCTCAGAGCTGGAGGTTAGGGGCTGTCCATCCGTGCCATCCAGCACTGGCACATCACCCGCCGGCTTCAGGCGTCGCTTCACGTATGCAAAGATTCTCTTGGGGGCGGTCTTCGCGGCTAATGCGAGCTGCTCTTCAAAGTGTCGGCGTTTATTCTTTTTTTTGCACTGTTGCAGAGATTCCGCTGACATTTATACCCTTCGTAATCATTGGCAGAGCCAGAGAGAAGGAATTTGTCCCACAGTCTGCGCCGCCTCCGAGCCAGGTTTCTATACTCCTTGTCAAACCAATGAGGCTTAATCGGTCCAACCTTTCGACATTTCAATGGCACAAATTTGGAACACAATGATGTTAATCTCTCTTTTATAAATATCCAACAATCTTCCACAGGTGCAGTTTGTGACAGAGACCAATCCAGTTGGCTCGCGGCTCGAGCAAGACCATCGAAGTCGGTTTTCCAGTAGTTGGGAGCTGGTTTCAGCGGATGTGAATACGGCAAAGATAATTCCATATCAGCTATCAGTACTGAGTGGTCGCTCGTAGCCATGATTGTTCAGAAACTATCCTGCGCACATTATCTGTGTAGCTGGTGGACACCACATCATCATTCTGTTAGTTGATACACTCTTAAAGTGGCAGTACTCCGTCCACTTTCCGAAGAGGCCCTGGGCTCCACACCATGTGGATATCATCTTTTATCCCACATGGGGCTGGATCACACGAAGCGACCGAACTTACTTCAACAAACAGGTTCAATCGGTGGAGAAAAAGCCTCAGAATTAGTAGTCGTTCGACATACCGCAGTTGTGATTTTAATTTTTTCGCATTTGGTTTCCTATATTTTGTTGCCAGGATTTTCCTGATCATTTTCGTTCTGCTCGCTCTGGGATTTAATTCCTCGCTCTTCTCACTGCTGTCACTGTCTTATAGTCGACAACACAACTCATGGCCGTACTTCGGTACTCGGATCTGAAACGAGCATCTCGCATTGCGGAGACCAGGTTTCCTTTCTATCACTTGCCAATCATTCACATTCACCATTTGTGCCCACACACTCAGCTTTCTCGCTATAGTACGTGTTGGCCTTTGGTTGGCTGGACATTGAAACTGTCTGTGGAGCCGCTTGGTACAGGTGTTGTGCTGCTTCTCTAATACCCCGTAACTTGGTGGGTTAAACGCTCTGTTCCATATTTCTCTGCGGCGATTTCGAAGAGCGTTTTCAACTACTTCATATTTATGAGTAGGACAACCCTAATCTCTTTTTCTTTGATGCTCGTATGCTTCCGCTTACATTACACAGCCCGCCCAACTGAATTCAACGAGCACGATGTGTACCTATGCGACTCAAAGTATTTCGAAGACGAGAAGGTTATTCGAAAATTGAAAAAAGGTCTCAAGGTCGGTTCTTTTCTTCTTAACCGCTTCCGGTCAAGATGTTTGTTTGAAAATGACCTCTACCACCATACATATGACCACACTTTCCCGAATTTCCTTTTTTTAGCGCTTTCAACTTTCCGCCGAGGCCTACGAGGATGAATTCTTTTTCTTCCTTCAACCAATCTGTCCCCGAAAGGTAATTTATAGAGGGAACATGCTCATATTTACTACCATTAGAGGTTCAGCTATCGACATTTACTAACATCCTACACTTGTTGTATCATTTGCTCTGTCTGCACAGGAAGCATCTCCGCTTCTGGATCAGGCCTCACCCGAGCCCCTGAGCCAAGAACAACTGAATCGCCCAGCTTCGTCTGCAATCACATGTGTTGTGGCTGCTTCAGCCGGCAACAGCACCCCACAGCACGTTTTCCCAACTAGTTCGCCAGCTACAACTCCACATTTACCTACAGACACTGTTGTCACGTCTAGGTTAATGACCTCACCAAGTGGCCCTGCCGTCGGCGGTTCCGATTCCACCTTCGGCAGGAACGCAACACCAATGACCACTGTCAAACCGAATGAACTGACCGATGAAAGCAAGTTGATGGAGCATACCTCTGACAGATCAAAGAAACGAGTCAGTCTGTACTATGTTCAGCATCCCTATTTGTGTGCTTTACCTTGACTTATACCATCTTGTCTATTTGTATCCACGTTATCCCCGATTATCACTCGCTCTTCTGCCTCCATTACGGTTGACGCTTCTATCCATTACGTCAACCATTTCACTAAGAGGATTCTTCTCTTCCTAATTCAACTTACGACATTAGTCCTGCATTTTCATTTCACTCCAATGTTTCTTTAGATGACGGTTAGGGTCCGCTTCTAAGTACCGCACATCTCGGCAATATATTGTATTCATCCAGACTATCACACTACCCGATTTATATTCACTTTTATTGTGGAATCCTCCGAATAGTTTTACGTTGCGGGTGTGAGGCGTTATTCCGAGGGAAAGCTAGTTAACCTAGATCAACCGTTAAAGAGTACTTGGCGGTTGACCAGTCAACTCTGATTTAATTCTATGATATTCCCATCCTTTGATATGCGCTTTTCCCCTACGAAGAATTTAATGTGAGCAATTCGTATTTATTGGCAGCTGCATTAGCAGCGACTGATGTATGGCTCTTAAAGTCAACTTATTTTATGAACCAGAGCTGTTTTCATAAATCTGCTACACGTCTGATCTTGAAAGTCGTGCCTACAGACCAGCAGTCAGGACCGCTCTCTACTGCCATGTTACATGGCCCTTTTAATCTGGATATCCTAGGAGTCTCAAAGTTGCTGACCGTTGTTACTCACAAACATCTCCCTTGTCAGGCGATACGAGAACGTCCACAGCAATGGGGCACACAGGGAACTACAAGGTTATCATGTTACTTCACTGGCGAACAAATCAAGCGCATTAAGTTGTGATGGGTCTTCCTAGAAGAATCCTGTTTTGCTTGGTTTTACATAGTATTGTGCTCAACACCAGCCGTTACACATCCTATCCGTGAGGAAACAAGGTTTGATCATTTTGCCTAGGCGCAGTTTGTCCATCTCCTCTCTCAAATCTGGGTGAAGATGACCCACTCCGCACCGATGACCGATGACTATCGTCTCCTTGGCTGGATTACCTGTTTACAATTTGTGTGATGCAGTGATGCGTAGGATTAGAGTAAATATGACGCGGGCAGTCACAAAAAAACAATCTCACCGGTGTTCTCTTGTCTGCGTTCGGTAGCCATTTGTCCGTGACTGTGTGGTGTCGCCCGTATCTAGGCCTTGATCGTGAATACGTACTTAATCATCGTGGTCTTATCTTGCATTTTTCCATTCACTTATTATTCCTTATTATTAAGGCTGTTGTGGTGGTAGGCTATCGGATCGTTGGTGCAAACTACTACTCTCTTTGATAATAATGATGTATGTCGCAGTTGATGACTTTCGATCCGCTAACATCAGCTGACAGTGAGGACATGGGGCCGTAACACTCGTACCACTGATTTTCCATTCTGCGTCATGATTTCTTCGGACACCGTGCCACATCGTTTGTGTACGTCACCGTGGGTCTTGCTTCTCTCTTGCTTCAGCGCAAGCTTCGCAAACCCCCATCCGGGTATGTCATCTATGCAGGAGAAGTTCGCAAGAGGCTGCTCCAAGAACGCCGAGATGCACCATTTGGTGAGATATCACGCGAAGTTGGCTTGTTGGTGAGTTATCGCACTTCATCTATTAACAAAGTAGTTAAGAGGACCTTGGGGAGTTTCAAGTCGTTTAGTCACAGCTAACCTCTCAGTCATACCACCACCACTACCACCACCGCACTCCCCAGGAAGTGCACCGCATGGTTATTTTTTCTCTTGGGGCTCGTCAGCAGCTGGACCTGTGCTCCACGGATTATCCCACTTAGCCCTGCGACACTATGCATACTTTCCTGCCCAGCGTTGTTACTGGCCTTTTGAGTTACCAATACATTGCATCCAGTTTCCAAATGTTTTATTTGCCTACGACTTCCACCTTAGTTCATGGGAACCAGTCACTTTTAACCTACTACTTTTATCACGCAATCTGCTACCGGTCATGGAAATATTTCCCGATGCTGTTACGCCGAATGCAATTTTTTTGACGCTAGAATGTTTTCTTTTTCTCGGGATTTATCATTAGGTCGGGGTGCATTCACCACCGATCAGGTGGCTCCTCTGGGCTTTCTAGCTAACAGCTCACCTTTTTCCTACTCTATTTTCTCACCGTATCTTGCTGCGAATTTGTCTAGACACACCATGCAACCATGGTCATGCTACTGACTGATAACATGTAGAACACTCCTTTTCCGTACCACATCAACTCGGTGCCATTTCAAATGGGATTATTATTGCGTTATTCCCTCACTCAAACTCTCCTATTCCTCTTTTTACCTAATTATTGTATCGTCTACGTTGGCTCCGTGAACCACCGCTAACGGGATCTTCCTGCTGAGATCATTTTAAGACTTAGAGTTTCTTGTGGGTCAACGATTTAGGCCACTTGTTTCTAATAGTCTCTAGTATACCACGAGACTTATCATCGGACTTTGATATCATGATTCCTTTGGATCCCAATCCATTTGCAAGCCATCTTAAATGTCCTAGCACAAAGTACCGCTCTCTATATGTGCTTCGTGCTTTGAAAATGCCAGATGCTATTGCAGTACTAGATTGATCTGCTATAATCCCCACAATTATTGGGTAACCACTGGAACGGATCACTTCTGATTCAATTATAATTCGTCAAAGTGTCAGCGGAAAATACGTCACTCTCAATCCCATTGTTCACACTGTGAGTGATGCTTTCGGAATCTGATTGCCACCGCACTTCGTCGTAGTTATTCATCCATCTACCATCCTCGCCTATGGCACAGTGCCATAAGACGCTCCTTGATGGAACCCAGAGAATGCACATCACTAGCGCGACACAAAAAGCCGAACTGACAATCTGACGCTTTTCCGGATCTGTAGGAGGATGTTTCGCGATGAACCATATCTGTCATACATCGCTTGGACTCTCTAAATAAATCACCGTAAGCCATGCATTTACCCCGATCTGTGATCTTATCCCTAGTATTGTTACCACTGGCATCCATACGGCACTGCCTACTTTGGACTTGTCCTGCTTTCCGAATGGTAATCAATTTTACGTTATTTACTGTACGCATTACCTTTATTATGTTACAGGGGGCTCTCTTTCCCTCACTCTCTCAATTTACCGACATTATGATTGTCCTTGTTTGCTTCGCCCCTTCATATGTTTGTCGCCTTCCTTTGCAGTGGCGACAAATGCCTGCATCACAGCGCGACTTCTACGAGCGAAAGGCTAAGTTAATCAAGCGCAAAATGGAGGAAGAGGAGATGCGTGCCAAAGCCCGCGAGCAGGAGCTAGCACGAGCCCAACTGCAACAGCAGCTGGCCGCTGCGCCGTCAACTGTTATGCCTACCAACGACCGGCATCCGAGCCCAATGGTTCAACCGTTTTCGACTGTCCCCACATTGATGGGCGCTCCAACCTCCGCGCAGCCTCACATCGTCTCCTCATCTACCATGAGCCAGTCGCTGACGACGCCGCATCATTCTATCGGCACTCCAGCCCCGTCACCAACGATGCAGTTCTACCAGACACCATCGGGACAAGTGATACAAATTGTGCACGCACCACAATCAACTGTTGCGGGAAGTGCTTCCTCTGCTCCGGGTCAGCAAGCAGTCAGTAGTGGATCGGGAACTTTCAGTCAAGCTGCTGCTTTTACGACATTACCTGCGATGTCCACTAGTTGTGCGGTACCAGGTGGAACACATCAGGTGCTTACTCGGTAGTCTTACTTTTGATTTTACACTTATTTCTGTCTTTATTTTGATAGCGGCTCAACTGATGATGATGCGATCTCTGTTGTGGTCCATGCAAGTAACATTGTATTTAGCTTGAGTTCTCACGGGGCTTGCGGATGGCACATGTGGCGCGTTTCCTATCGTCTCCCAGTTGAACTTCCTGTTTGAATAATGCATTATACTGACTTATCTGATGGTTGTTGTTGTTGCTTATGGCACTTGCCGGTGAAGGCCGCAGGAAATTTGTCCAACCGTTACCACCTTGCTTTCACACGATGTCCACCAACCTGTGCTTATACGTTGTCTTTAGGACACTTGTGTTTTACACTACGTCACCGTTTCTTTCCCCTCTGTTGTATCTCACTGCATAAGTCATTGTGTCTATATGGCAGCGATGCATCCGGACAGAATACGGACGCTTTGCTGCTGCTGATAATGGGTCTGGCACCGCATGCATGTATGCAAACACATCGCAAGTTGCCGGGACGTTTCTGGAGCCGTATCTGACCTACTGATTATTGGATTAGAGTTAATCTCTTTATGCGTTTCCATCACTAAAATACAGCCCATTGTCTGGATCTGTTTTCTCCAGAGAATCAGTCCGTCTCGTTACATTTGTTGGGATCTACGTGGCATCACAACAATACCGCTATCGACGGTGATCCAAAGCTGCCCACGATAATATCATTCAAACAAATTGTCTATTTGGTTCGGATGCTCGACCGAACTCATATACGAACCACATGGTTTGAGCTATTCTAGTCATCTACGCGAATTATTTCATTCGCAACGTGTTTCGTGGGGCATCTTTGGCTTATCTCTCTCTATGATAGCTATTCGGAACACGTTTTGGCTGAGTTACGTATCGGATCCGGGACCTTTTGCTTATTGGTTGACACATGGCCAAATAGACTACGAGACTATGAACAATCTTTCAGGTAGCGAGGTGTTCAAGTCCAGGGATGCTATTCCCAATTACCGCTTCGCTGTACTTGATGTCTGCTTCCTTTCTCAGGTTGTCTATCAATTGCCCGGTCATCACCCAACTTCCGTTATGCCTTCGGGTTCCATGGGCTCTTCCACACCTCAGACGGCATATTACCAACAGCAACATCAGCGTCTACTTGTGGCATCCAACTCGGGTCATGCTACCCAAGGATCAGTTACGGCCGTCATGGCCTCCGGGGCTCATATGCCTGCGACGATTATGTCGGGTGTCGCATCGACTCCACAAGCACAAATTTTACTCGCTTCCACTGGCTCACATGCAGCAGCAATGAGTACACACCCGATGGCAACGCATGCTATGTCATCAACTCACTCGAGTGTGCCGGTGCTTACCGCGGCGCCAAACGTGTCCTTGATCAATGCCGTGCAACCGTTGCAGCCGGGGGTTGCACACGAATTTTCCCCACACCATCATCTTCATCATCCGCAATTTCAAATAGTCCATCCAGGTGAGCCCGCACATTTATCACTTCCTATATCTGCCGTGGTTTTAATCTGACGCACATCCACGAACTGCAATATGTTACCTTTCCTCCTCCCACTTTCAACGTTTTGCTCAAAGTGGTCGTTGCTCTGTGCTCAATTTAGGGAGTAAGTTTTGCCAAATGATATACTGCCGGATGTAGGATATAAGAACGATATAATTCCTTCGGATTCCAATCCAGTTACAATCGCTTTTGGAGGTTCTGGTACAAGATGCCATTCTCTGTATGTGCTTCGTACTTTGAAAGTGTTTGGTGCTGTTGGAATATTGGACTAATGTGTAAGTATTGACTAGCCATTCGAACGGTATTCGAAACTGGTGGTCTCGATAGGGTGCAGTGCGTTGTCTTTACTGTGTGAGCTAGTACCTCGAGCACTGAATTTATTTTGTCGTCACAGTGCTATTGGAGCTCCGTCCATATCCGCTTGGAGCACCGAACAGGTAATTTCGACTGATACGCTGCATAAATTATCCATTGGGTTCGAATTGTGTACGTTAATTAGGTCATATCTCTAACCTGCATGCAGACCACTGTTTATGCTCGAATTGTCTCGACAGTACGGCAAAGGTGCATGAACGCTGGTTTTATTGGGCTAATGCATGTCCCCCGAATAGATAACGTCAGCAAGGGGCTAATTTATTCGAAATGCCTCCCCCGTGCAGTCTGTGACGCTCGTACACTCTGACTAGTTTTTAACTTTGCCATCTCGTCATTCTCCCCTTTTCCTTTTGACTTCTTGTAATTGTTTCTTATTTTCTCGCACTCTGTCTTTAGCTTTCTCACGCGAATAGTCTAACGTCCCCTTCTCCCGACTCCTTTTGCTTTTTTGCCTGATTTTTCGTCATCGTTGAGTGTACTAATACTACAACTATGTACGGTATCACGAATGATTACACTATTACAGTGCAACTTTATCGCATTCTCAGAGGATTGATCCTTTCCTGCCTCTAACCAGAGGCGTAGTGTCACGGAACACCGACAGTACACCTTTTCTGCAATGGATTATAATGCTTTCATCATACCTTCTCTACGTGGTTTGTAAGAACCCTTGGAAACCAGCTGTTTTTATGTGGCAAGCATCAGCAGTACGCCGGTACGTAGTACCGACGCTTCGCTGCCGTGCAGCCACAACCGGTCGCACATGAGCTAAGGATACTGCGAAGGTCACCCTGCCCCTACGCAAGCTCGAACTCGCGCCGTCAAATTACAAGACAAGCTTAATACCTTTCTGCTACGGGCCGGTAGTTGTTTCTATGTAGCGGAGTTTCGTTGGCTCTGTCAATTTGCCACGATATTTTCCATTAGTACTAAAGTAAGTGTTGGACAGTAGCTTTGCGTGCGTGCTGATATACTGTTTTGTTGAGCGCTTTACATGTGGCCTGCGTGATTACCTGCTATTTTCGTATTGCAAATACCATTCCTTAGGACAGTTTCGTGAATCTTTTACCATTTATCCCCCTTCTGTGGTTTCCAACTATTTTTCGCATTTTTTTATCACGTTAAGTAAAATCACCAACCGATTTATGCATCTTTAGCCTCTACTGCCATACCGGGGCATCCTGCGCATATAGCCTCAGCTGCCCAGGCACACGTTCCGCCATCTATTCATGGAGCTCCTGGCCAACCTCAACAACACGGTCGACCTCCTTCACCTATCTTTGTTTCCACTCCGCCTCGGACTTCACGTGTACTGCACTCTGAAGTCTATCAACGGTACGTGAAGTTTCACGGTTTGTCTGCCGATTTTTTCTCCGATGGCTTGTTGATCACATAACGCCGTATGTATTGGTTGGGCCGTGTTGTGCAGATCAATGGGGCTATTTTTGATCTAAAATTTGTTTAGTTTGATGAACGCGGCCCACTAGTTATACCCACCTGCGCTTGATCGTCTCATTGGTTGCCTAACACTTTCAATGCGGCTCCTATATTCATCCGGTTGCTCCGAGCCATCAGCCTTTGCTTCACGTGATTATACTTCTTGTCTTTTACTTTTGTCTTTTCTTATATTTTTTCCTTTTTGCTGTATCTTCGCTTTCTTCTATCATAACTCATTTTGTTCCTTGTAAAGACGAAACTATCATTTATCTAGTTCTTTGCAATTAGACTACAATCAATTTAGGCCAACCATCAATCCAGCAAAGCACCAGACGGTCGTTTCCTCCCCTTGGTACTCGCAACTCCTCGGTCCCCATTCAGGGAACCGAACCCATGGGTTACAAGGACTTGCATCAGTGCTCAGGTACTTATGCCACTGAGCCATGGGGAACGGTTTCTGACCATAATGGATTGAAACCTGACCCATTCGGGAATAAACAGCTACTTCTCCTTACCGATTTATTCAAATGCGCGATTCCACTTTTTACCATGCTGCTATTTCTATCCCCTGTGGCATTGCCTTCCGGAATCTATCTGGAGTTTCTATGGTGGTCTTTAGTCAGGAACAAAGCTGGCACTCATTTTGATACGAATGTTGCCCGTTGTCTCAGCCTTGGAGCCGAGAACGATGCCTAACCCAGCTTGACCAGTGATTGCTGCATCAGCGTCTCCGAATGCTTGCAACCAATGGCGAGAGGACAAACCGGGCGCAGTTACTTAATCAAACCCGTGAGGGTCATTAATCCTGTTTTCGAATACGCAACACGTCAATATTCAGTGTGTCTGACTTGCGTGCGAATGCAGCCTGTTGACCTATTCGATTTGTAGAGCGAACGTTGAACGCTGCCAGGGAAACAGGACAGCGTCTTCAGAGGGTATGTTGCCGATAGGCGTCCGGTGGGTGGTACGAGAAGATAGTTGCAGATGGTTGCTGGGGGATTGAGAGTGAAGTAAGAGCAACAGCTGAGAAAGAAAGAAGGGACGCGCCAACAGTAACATGTTTTCCTTTATCCGCCCTGATGTATGCAGCAGATAAGGCGACCCTTGATACCCTGCGCGACGGCGGATACAGGATATGGTCGAAGTTTACAGTAATGGTCATGGTTGTACGTGGCCTGTGATGCTGCCAGGTCGCCCAGACCTAGACAAGAGGACGATTAGGGTTCTCATCCAAAGCCTTTGACTCAAAAGCCTCTCCGCAGGGCAGCAGGGAGGTGGCACTGATTTAGTTTTACAGAAATGGACCGCATTCCATTTCAATTCCCCAATCTGGAGGGCCAAGCGATTGCGTTTGTCTGACCTCTCACCATTGACCAACCTGGTAGGAGTAACTCTTAAGCGAATCCGGAGGCACCACCCAAACTAGCTCAATGGGTCGACGACATACGCAAACCGTTGTTCCGCGTTAAGATCCGGTCTTTTTGCGATTAATCCCGGGTATCGGTACACACTTGTGCCATATTCACATATTCACACTATTGTGTGCATCTAACGTTTGTTGGGATGATTTTCACGTAACTGTTGATGTTTCATACTTGCTAACATATGCTTACTTACTTGAGGCTTCTAGTTGTTTGGTCACGAGCGACTGGCACGGTGAAGTAGTTATTAGTATTCCATTCTGATCGTATCGATACGGTTTAACTTGATGACCCCCCCCGAAGTACGTCTGCCATCCGTTGATTATATATATATATATATATATATATATATATATATATATATATATATATATAGTTGCAACTCGCGACATTTCAACTATTAGTTTCTTGATTTCTTAAACGAATTTTGACCGCTTATTGTTTGGACCTTTATCATTGGATGTGTAATCGTTTTTGTAAATATGAACATAATACTTCTATTTTCACGGCTGTCTGAGGCCCGCATAGT